TTTACTAAGTTGGTTACTGTGTAGCAAAAACAGAAGCCACCCACATAATCCCAGACTTACTTTAGACTCTCCCGAGAATTTTGTTCCAGTTGATAGCTAAAAAATATCTGACGTGATTACCTATAGTAATACTACTATTTTAAGCAAAAAGATTAAAGATAAGAAGGAATGGAAACTAATCTTTTTTTAGTTTGTGACCTTAAGCAAGGCTAGTTACCCTTTGTGGTTAAATAATGGCAACTTATTGCATTTTTACCAACTTCACAAAGAAATGTTTTTTTTAAAAAAGATCTAGCTTGCTTTCACCCAGAGTAGAAAAAAAAAAGAAAAAAAAAAACAACAACAAAGACTGTCCATCCAGTATGGTAATCACCACATGGGACTATAGGGCATGAGAATGTGACCAGTCCAATCCATGATGTGTGCAAGTGTAAACAAACATGGACTTCAAAGACTTAATACAAACAAAGAATACAAAACACCTCATTACTTTTACATTGTATACATGTGGACATTATATCTTGGCTATCTTGGGTTAAAATATATTATTAGAGCTTGTTTGCTTATATATATTTTTATATGTAGCTACTAGTTACTAGTACATTTAAAATTATTAGTACATCTGCTAAGGCAGCCGATCGATGTTTCTTTCTCATTGATAGTTCTTTCACTCTCTCCCCTCATCTCTCTCTAAAAATCAATAAAAACACATTTTAAAAATAAATAAAACAAAACTGCATCTGCTGCCTGCTGAATGAGGGTGTTTCAACTGAAGTTCTAAGTTAACGACTCAAAGATGATGCTCTATACATCTTCCTGCCTCAGTTTCATCATTTGTAAAATGTCAACACCTTGGATAGATGTCTTTTAAAACCTCTATGGCTCTAGCGTTCCAGAACTCCAGGGTTCAATAGTTGTTGCTAGTAGAGAAAATTTGTGAGGACTGGTTGATGACTGCTGTAACTAAGAGGCAGGCAGCCTTCCAAAGAGCGGCTCCAGACAAGGTAGGCGTCGCTTCAGCTCAGGGCGTCGCTTCCACCCAACCAGCAGCGTGTGTGTCTCAGGGCTGCAGACAGTGCTGTTGTACTTCCTCTGCCGGCTGCGAAAACTGTGAGGTCATGTGAGGAAAGCCCTGCTCTGACGCGGTGGCTCCAGGGCTCAACACTGTGCCGCCTATTAACAGAGCTGTCCGTAGTTCTAGGCGCAACTGCTGGCTGGCACACTGTGGGCTGAAGCGCAGGGTGCAGTGGGACTGAAACACATTCTGGCTGCCAAAGGGGTCCAGAACACTGACTTCATCAGTCAGGAGCCGAAAAGTAGGAAACAACAACAACAATTTGTAACATATTGTATTTATCAGACTCCTGAAAGAAGCATTAAAAAGACAACATATAACTATCAGTTTCATCCAAAGCATTATTCTATATTTGTTTGTTTTCTGTTAACATGGCACCTTCTGAATTAACCTGGATTGAAAGATAGAGTCCCCCCAACCCAGTAAGCACTTGGAAGTCTGCACCAAGCCACCTTGGTGGCCCACTCTCCATCATCTGACAGCAGCATGCTGCAAACATGTTTAGGTGTCTATCATGTGCTGGGCACCAGATACAACAGCAATATACAGTCCCTTGTCCTTAAGCAGAATACCAAGTAAGATGACAAATGTGACTCTGTGAAAATTGGATGGTAAGTTTTGGGTGCTCGTCTTAAAAGCACCTAACTCAGGAGCTAGGAAGGCATTTTGGAGAAAGTGAGATCCAAGTGAGCTAAAAACTGACCAGAAGAGGAGGAGGAAGAAGCAGTCCGCGCTCCAAAGGACAGATATGAAAATGAACGAGATGCATCACCAGAAGGCTGTAATTTAGAGTGTGATGGGACTAGCGGCAGAGGTGAACCTGAGAGGGAAGCGGGGGCCAGACCATGCGGGCCTTGAATACCCTGTGAAGGAGTTGATAATGGTGGCCCAACCCCAAGGCAGCCATCCCATTCTTCCTAGTGTTAGGAGGATTAAACTGCTTCTTCCTGCCCAAGCATGCCAGGTAGTACCACACTGTCCTGTCTTGGCACAAGTCATCCCTCCTTCTTGCCTTCTTGAAGGCCTTCCTGTCTCTGCCTTCTTATTTTCATCTCAGAAGTCCCACATGGATTTCTAGCCCCAAAGAAATTAGCTGGAGTTGGCACACAAAAGAAAAGTGATTGGTCCTCAATGTTCTAGATTGGCATCTATTTGCAGGAAGGCACCGTGTCCTTTCCATGGTTGGAACCACAATATTTCACTCTGTGTTTGATACATGGAGTAATGTAAGGTGCCTCTCAAAGGTCTCTTCCCTTAAACCCTTTCCCAGCCCCAAGACTAAGCAATCATTCCCTACCTGTAAGCACACTTCTTGTAATAGACTTCCGGGTGAGAGGACCCAAAGTAAAAACCATCTTCTTTCAGAACTGCCCCCATTGGTGGCAGCTGAGCAGCCAGGTTAGGACAATGTGACCATGTGCCGTGGGTATTGCTCACTGAGACAGGAGAGGACATGAGACTCAGATCTTGCCTCTCTCACTTAGAAACCAGGGCTGAGACCTGCTAGTAGGTCCCTGCTAAGTGCTTTAGTTGGGAGGACATTTACACTTGGGATCTGTGGGCTAGGCAACTTCTCCTTGTACGCAGAAGCAGAAAGAATCATAAAGGTTTGGCAACTTTCCAGGGTCTTGTTCTAGTCATTATAGAATGGTGTCTATTTGCAGGAAAGTACCATGTCCTTTCCATGGTTGGAATCACAGTATTTGCTCTGTGTTTGATACAAGGTCAGTGTGAAATAATGCTTGCTTGGAGGCTAAGTTGTGACTATTGTTTTAACCTGATTGCTTATTCTTGCCTCTACCTTCACCCACTTTAGCTCAATGGAAGTCTAGAAAGGAATCCTTTTTTCCCACTCTAAGAAACAAAGTAATTAAATAGGTAAAGAGCTGAAATACAGTAGTGCATCTCACCCTCAGGCACACACTTACAAACCCATCTCTGCCCTTCTGTAAGTCTGTAACTCGTTCTTCCTTTTTATCCCTGGGGATAGGGTCACATGTTAAAGTTACATTAATTTAGGGCAGCGGTTGCCAACCATGGTCCATGGGCCACTGGTGAGGTGAAAGGTTGGCAGCCTCTGCTCTAGGGCATGGCTACTCAAACCCTCACAGAATCAGGGCAGCTGTTATTTGTCTTGTGACTTATCTATATACATTCAGAAAGTGGGGCCTACTAACCTATTTGTAGATTACTTTTTGTTTACCCATAATTTATCACAAACTTATTTTCATTGTGAAAAAAATGATCTAGTAGTAACTATCATATGATAACCTGTAAACTTCAGGAGCCGTAAGTCATGTATCTTAAGGAAATGTGAACTACAGAAAATCTGTAACTTTCAGGAAGTATGTCTGTTACAACAAAGCCAAGGTTACTCTTCTCCCTCCTTAAAGTCTTTATCAGTAACACTAGAGACACGGGTGTGGTCCCTAGATCTGGCCAGTGATCCCAGCGCGAGCCTCTGGCGTGGAAGGGCAGGTCCCAGCTGACCTGGACCCCTGCCTCCCCCACCTCCCACGCGCCACCTTTGCCTGAGCCCTTGGGGCCCCGAGTCCCCACTAGGAGATACGCTAAGCGTGGCCGGACTCCACGAGCCAGGGTGCAGCATGGGCCTCTGGGCCGCCCAGCAGTGCAGCACGGAAGCAGGGCAGGTAGCTGTGCTCTCTCCTGACCAGCCTACCCATGCCGGCTACGGCCCTGCTCACCTGGAAGACACCACGTGGGTGCGGGCAAGTGAGCCCTGGCATCCCAGAGAAGGGTAGAGGGGGCGTGAGAAAGAGAGCTCGAGGGACACCCCGCATTATCACCGCACCTCCAGCCCGCCATCCCCAGCCCCAGGTAGCCAACAAGAGGTTGTAGCACATTATAGACGCCTGCCATGTTCTGCGCGACCCCCTTCCCCCCTAGTAATCAGTGCACGTCATAGTGAGAGGTTGAACTCCTGGTCAAACGACTACCCAAGGGGACAATTAGCATATTAGGTTTTTATTTTATAGGACTAGAGGCCCAGTGCATGAAATTCATGCAGGGGAGAAGGAGGGTTGTCCCTCAGCCCAGCCTGTACCCTCTCCAATCTGGGACTCCTTGAGGGATGTCTGACCACTCGGGCAGTCGGACATCCCTCTAACAATCCAGGACTGCTGGCTCCCAACCGTTCACCTGCCTCTACCCGATTGCCCCTAACCACTTCTGCCTGCCAGCCTGATCACCCCTTACCACTCCCCTACCAGCCTGACCAATGCCTAACTGCTCCCCTGCCTGCCCAATCACCCCTAACTGCCCTCCCATGCAGGCTTGGTCCCCTCCCAACTGCCCTCCCTTACAAGCCTGATCTCCCCCAACTGCCCTATTCTGCTGGACCGGTCACCCTTAACTGCCCTCCCTTCTGGCCTGATCGCCCACAATTTTTCTTCCCTGCAGGCCTTGTCCCCCCCAACTGCCCTCCCCTGCTGGCCTGGTCCCCCTCCCCAACTATTCTGTCCTACAGGCCTGCCCCCCACCCCCCAGTTGCCCTCCCCTACTGGCCTGGTCACCCCTAACTGCCCTCCCTGCTGGCCTGATCACCCACAACTGCCTTCCCCTGCAGGCCTGGGTCATCCCCCCCTCACCCCCCCAACTGCCCTCTCTTGCTGGCCTGGTCTCCCCCAACTATCCTCCTCTGCCAGCTCAGTCACCCCTAACTGCCCACAACTGCCCTCCCCTGCAGGCCATCTTGTGGCGGCCATATTGTGTCCACATGGGGGCGGCCATTTTTTACCACATGGGGGCAGCCATCTTGTGTCTTGGAGTGACAGTCAATTTGCATATTACTCTTTTATTAGATAGGATAGGCTCAGTTCCTCTCTGTCCAACCATAGCAAAAAGTTTTTCTGACAATTTTAACAGACTACGATTAGTAAGCAAGCACCTTAAAAACAGTACATACCAACTCCATTAACTGTTTGAGCTGACCAATCTCTTCTGGCAGTGATCCGAGTTTGTTGTTACTTGCAATTAACACTTTGAGAGGCAGACCACACAGGCAGGCAGGCAGGGTGGACAGCTGATTTCGACTGCAAAGACAATACAAGGGCACATGTGAACATACAGGCCACTTCATACCATTTGTGAACCTTTTGCACAAGCAAGGAGAAAAAGAGTGAGCTGAAAAGACACCTAACTAATAATGAAAAGCCAATAAAGTTCCTGTGTATGTAATAACTCAAATCTCATATGTATAAGACAAGAAAATATATATTTTACAAAAAGAGAGGCATAGGCTGGTCTGAGGGACGCACAAGGAACCCTGAAGAAGCTGAGCCCATGGCCAGCCAGGGCACAGGTGGGCAACATGCCCTGTATCACCAATCGCAACAGGAAGCTGGTGCCAACTGTCATCTTCCTGACAATGTGAACAGGAAATCCTGAGAGGATCTAAGGTATTTTACTACTAACATAGGCAGCAATGGAGAGATCATTTTCCTGTAACTCTCAACACTACCACCCAATTTCCAGTGTTTTGACTCACTATGGTTGTTTGCTTAGGTATGTGCAAGAGAGCTACTTAAAAAAACAAAAAAAAACAAAAAACTTTATTGCTGAGTCTTCTGTGAGATGGGAAAATATTGAAGAAATGAAATCTAAGAATCAGCCACAAGTATAAGGCAGTGACTTATTTTATCTCCTCCCTCACAAGCAGCCCTTTTCCTAGTATCAAGTAAGGAGACAGATGGTTTTCAGCTTCCCTTTATTTTTCTGGCCATTCTGTTTTGAAATCAACAACCAGACAATAAACATAAAACTCTGTTGTATTGCCGAAGCCGGTTTGGCTCAGTGGTAGAGCATCGGTCTGCAGACTGAAAGGTCCCAGGTTCGATTCTGGTCAGGGGCATGTACATTGGCTGCGGGCATCACCGGTAGGGGGTGTGCAAGAGGCAGCTGGTCGATGTTTCTCTCATTAATGTTTCTAGCTCTCTATCTCTCTCACTTCCTCTCTGTAAAAAAACAATAAAATATATTTTAAAAAACAAACAAAACTCTGTTGTATGTCATAGTATTGCACCTACTTAGAACTTCTATGTGTAAAGCTTCAGAGGCTGTGGTACCATATGCATGTATTTAAGGGTGCACATAACATCTGTGTGTGCAAGGGCATGAGACAGACAGATGGACTGCAAACACACAGACTGTTACCAGTGGTCATTTTGGGGGGAGTAGGTACAATGAGTGGATTTCATTTTTTTTTTACTACATTTTGCTAATTTTCCAAAATGACTACAAAGTGCTTTTATAATTAGGAAATAAATCCTATATAATAAAAGCTTAATGTGCAAATCGACCGAATGCCAGAACAACTGGTTGCTATGACATGCACTGACCACCAGAGGGAATATTCTCCCACCCAAGTACTAACCAGGCCCGACCCTGCTTAGCTTCCGAGATCAGACGAGATCGGGCGTGTTCAGGGTGGTATGGCCGTAGACAAGAGGGAATATTCTCAAAGCAGGAACTGCCCCCAGCCCACAGGCCCCAGGCCAGCCAAGGTGGGTGCAATCGCCCCACAGAGGGAGGTGAATGGCAGTGGTAGCAGAAGGTGAGGGGTGGAGAGGGGGAACAGGGCCAGTGGGCAGGCAGCGCCAGTCCAGCCAAGGTGGGTGCCAGCAGGGGTCCCCCTGATTGCCTCGCCAGTTGCCCCACAGATTGGCCCTGATCACCAGCCAGGCTGAGGGGCCCTGCTCTTGTGCAAATTTCGTGCACAGGGCCTCTAGTATCATTATAAAAAGATAAACTTCATCTGGATACTGGTTATATGGATGCTTCTTTTGTGGAAATTCATTTAGATGCACATTTATGATCTGGGCACTTTTCTGTATGTGTAAAGGTTTTATTCTCTCATTTCCCCATACCATATGAGAGCACAGGGATCTGGTTAGCCAAAGGGTGTCTCTAGCTACTGGGCTCATAACAAAACAGGTGCTGTTCTCTTGAAAGAACCTTCCTAATATGGGTACTCTGTTGTAACACCCTGACATCTCTCCTGCTCCTGGTCCCCAATGCCCAGGTAATGAGGTTAGCAAAAAAAGATACGGCCACATCTTCTCTCTACTGCTCAGACCCAAAAAGAAAGTTATTTCCAGAAAGGAACCTAAGAAGGAGAGAACTTTCTCTATGAGGGTCCAGCAGAGGAGAGGAGCTAGAGGGCCCTTTGGGGTTGGGGGCGGGTGTTTCTGGCACTAGAAGGACCAGCTGACTCTTCGCTCCCTCCTGGTTAGGATGACAGGCGAGAATGAGGGTGATGGGCTCACCCTGGCCCTTTCTCCTGATCTCTGGGTATAGTGACAGGAGAATCTAGGACTGCTTGCCTATTTGTCTGTCCTCTCAAACCCCTCCTGCACCCTGTCTCACCCACAGGAGCCAATGGGGCTCTTCTGGGTGGAGGAGGAGAGGCCCTGCTTCCCGGTGCCTGCTGGGAGAACTTTCTTCAAAGACGCTATCTCCTGAAAAGAGACCTCAATTTATCAAAAGGTGGCAAGTAAGTAATTTGGGATGTAATTTGTGGTTATAAAATACTCAATAATATGTATTTTCATAAAATGAGGATTGGTAAATTAAAATGTTAATAAGATAATTTTATTATTTGAGCTATACTAAGCTTCCTTTTCAAGAGACAATATTAGGAACAAAGATAAGTATGCTCGAAAATTTCTACATTTTTATTTTCCACAGAATCAATGATTACAGTTGAGATCTTATCTTTGTTTCTTATCTTGGAAACTCAGATTTAAACTATTCCCAATCTCACTACCTTAATGCAGGCATCTAATCAAATTAACAGATTTTGAATTGGAGAGGCATTTATCTTACTATTTAAGTAATTCAATGAAGGCTCTGTTTATTCAGAAGCATGAGTATTTGAAATACTCGGAATTCTTCCAGGGTCGGTACTAATTGAAAATAAAGTAAAATTTAAGCTTGTGAAAGCAGTTAGTTTATTTGATAGGAAAGAGTGCTATTTATGCTAAAAGCTGCTAAAGAGATACGTATTTATTTATGCCCCACACACTCCTATATTTAATCACCAATATACCAATAACATGCCAAGTCTTCGATCATATTACATGTCACAGACGTAGGGCACATTTCTTCTACTGCATCTATCTGTTCCCTCAGCCTCTACCTCCATATTTTATCACAGGATGTTCCAGTATTACTTTTAATTTCCCCAATAGAAAAAGGAAATACACATGCACACAAAATCCCATTAGCTCTCTAGCAGGTATTTATAAAGGAGAGGAGAAATTGCTCTCTTTAATCATCTACCCACATCAGCAGCCTGAGCTTTTTGAAACCACTCATCTGGCATTTTCTCATATAAGTGCCTCAGGCTGAAATCCGCTCTTCTCCCCTCCCACTGGTCTCCTGGGGGCCTGAACCCTATAAATAGCCCTTTAAGGAAAGAATTTTTAAAAATAAGGCCATTTAGTGTCTGATAAAGTAACATTTACCTTCAAATCTAGCCTGTGAGCCACATCTGAAAACAAAATAAAAAGTTAACAAGAGTAAATCAGTGGAGGAAAAGGGCCACTCACTCAGTAGTAGAAATTATAGATCCAGTCATGGTGGCATGAAACTTCCTGCCATCAAAGAGCCAAGCTCATCCAGCATCCCATCAGTCTCCCTGGCCATCTGCATGGAGGATGGCCAGGGAGCAATGAGGGGAGGAAGGCAGGCAGTGGGCTTTTCCCATGGTTACTGCTAATGCTTGTCTCCCCTCTCTCAGTTGAATGACTCTCCAACAGATTTGTCTATTTACTAATTATGAGATGGAATAAGGCAGCACAACATAGTATGAACAATTTTGATAGCCTAAATTACTCTTGGTTTCAAGTATCACTTAACCTAATTCTTAAATTAAGAAATTCACAAACCAAGTCATTTATTTATGATTTTACTTTGGCAGAATCTTATTTTAGTGTATTTTGATTATAGCACTTATTAATATGGCACTTATTATTGTTTCAAACTTAGTATTTGACAATTTATTAGAAAATTATTTCCTTTAAAGTATGTAATGATGAAGGCATGCTATATTATTACATGTGACTTTATTATCAGGGCATTATATGTATTTTTTATTCTACTGGACTATAGGAGTGAACAAAAGTAGGTTAATAATAATGATAAATACAATAACTAATAATTAATTATTATACAAAAATAAACTCGCAACTATAACCCTACTTTTGCCATCCCTGGACATTCTTTTTAAAAATATTTTAATTGATTTTTTGAGAGAGAATAAGAGAGAGGGAGAGAGAAACATCAATTGGTTGCCTCCTGCATGCACCCTAACAAGGGACTCAATCCACAAGTTGGGCATGTGCCCTGACTGGGAATCAAACCACTGACACCTTGGTGCACGGGACAATGACCAACCAACTGACCACAACAGACCGTGAACCTGTATATCCCTTTTTTGTATGTATGTGTATTCACTTAACAATGAAACATGGGCCAAAACTGGTTTGGCTCAGTGGATAGAGTGTCAGCCTGTGGACTGAAAGGTCCCAAGTTCGATTCCAGTCAAGGGCATGTACTTTGGCTGTGGGCACATTCCCAGTAGGGGGCGTGCAGAAAGCAGCTGATCGATGTTTCTATCTCATGAATGTTTCTAACTCTCTATCCCTCTCCCTTCCTGTTTGTAAAAAATCAATAAAATATATATTTTAAAAATAATGAAGCATGGAACTCACTCAACAGAAAATAATTTATAGGGTGATTTCTATAACAAATTCACTTTAATTCCCTTGGTAGAAAGGTCACCAACAGGGGAATTAAAAGACCTGGTTTCAAATCTCATCTTCACCACAAGTCATCTGTATGACTAAGTTTAACCTCTGGCTCTGTCGTCCATAAACACAGGAATAATACCTTCCTAACGTGACACATGAGATTATGAATACAAACGTAATTTAGTCAATACTAAATCCATATATAAAGATTAAACCAAGCCCAACCATTCATTAATGTTGCCAACCAACTATTAGGTGGGTAACCAAAAAGAGCATATGTG